AAGTTCGTGTAAAAAATATAAGAAAAATCCACAACTCAATAACTATTTAAGCTAGTTTCATAAAAATTAATATACAAGTATTTCCATACCTGTTGAATAGCTTTCTAGATATTTTTCGCCTGTTTAGGTTGACCTAGATTGTTGAAATTATGCTACAAAAATCTCTATAAAGTACAAAAAAACGTGTTTGTTGTAAATTACTTATCAATCTCAACAGTTATGAAAATGTTCACAACTTTATGATCAAATTTGGATCAGTATATGTCACGTGAAAATTAGAGGGAACAGGTAAACCCCTGGAACAGGTTAAGATTCCCATTATTTATTAATGGAGTCACATGCCTTTTCACATTTAGAAATCATGTAACATATTAATACAAGCTAACTAACTGCAGCTAAATATCACGAATCACAATATAAGGAAAAACATATTGTACATGAAATATGAGTTTATTGTACAAATGAATTAACTAATCAACCAAGAAGAAAGGGTCTACTGGAAAAAAAGTGACAAATATAGTTATACAAGTTCGTGAGATCATATTTCCTTTTTGTTTCAAACAAAGAAATCGGCGTAAAGCATCGAAAAGCATCCAAAGAGTTTGGTCTTTCAATGGTAATAATATCTGTATTAGAAATGATTGACGCATGAAATCGTATAAGACAAAGACGCGTAACAGTGATTCATATCTAAATGCGCGCCTATTATGTCTGAAAACGTAATGATTTTATACTGAAGCAAAAATAATAAATGACAAAATTTTCTTTTTTTACTAGATTTTCCTTGGCATACAATAAATAGATAACGGCAATAAATAATTTCTTATATTCTGTATCAAAAAAAAATTATTGGGGGTAAAAAACCCATTTTTGGATTAAATTTTTTAAAAAAAATCAAATGACTGATTGTCAAACATTTATTGCATATTTGTTGATTTCTCGAGAGAAAAGTTTGTAGAAATTAATTACGTAAACACGTGTAAGCCACTCACTAGATCGACTAAAAAAAAAGATGAAATGGATAATAATTTGAGAAAAAAAAATCTATATAATATACTCGAATAAAAAAAATTTACTCTTTTTATGGATTTTTGAAGTTCCTTAGTGCAATAATAAAAAAAAAAAAAACTCAAATTTCCCAAAGAAATCTTTATCCCTCCCAATTTTTCTGTCTTTACAATACATTAATTATCCTTCAACATCCCAACCATGATTTCAGAAGGTAGTTATGCGTATGTTTCATTTAAAAAATGATTGTGCATATATTTCGTGATTTTGCGATATTTTTGTTGATTATATTTCGTTTTTATTTATAAAATTTAGCACTACGAACATCAAATCCGATAGTAAATAATCAAAATTTTATGAGGTTTGAAAATTCAAATCGTTTTTTGAGGCGCGTATGCCTCGTCTTGTCGGTGGGTTCTGCCCACCGATTCTGTGAAATTTTTTCATATTTATGGTTGGAGGGTCGTCGGGGGGACTTTGTCCCCTGTCGGAAGTTGGTCGCTTCCGATCTTTAATATATATGGATTATCAAAAAGAATTGAAGACGGTCGTGATCCAATTTTTCAGAAAAGAGGTCATATTAATTTAATAATTTAAAATAGTTTATACAACTCAAAATATTTTTTAAACGTGATATTCGCACTTTGAATAGAATCGCACATACTCGTGCTTCTAGTTTTATAGAAATTGGTGGAAATTCATAAATGTATAATACATTACACCTTTAATTGGTTAATTGACAAGACAAGTGTATATCAAAGATAGTGTTTCAAAAAAAAAAAGTAATCGAGCGTTTGTAATTTGTATGTAAAATCATTCCTCATTAAATAAATAAATTATAACCATTCATTCTTTATAAAAAAAATTTATTACCGTGCTAACTTTCTAAAAAAAAAAAAAAAAATCGCAAGTAAATTATAAGATGGTAGAATGTTTAAAATTTATTAATTTTCCTCTTTTCTTTTAGAATCCTCCCCTCCACAGGTGGTTTACGTAAATGTAAAGAATTCATCGGCATCAATCCCAACGTTTATCACATCATCCTGATGAGCAACATCATACATGTTGCTAAAATATGAAGGAACTATCATGTCACTATAAAACATCGTTTGGTCTATGATGTACTTTATACCATCATAATCGTACTGTGATGGGACCAAATAAATTTGGTTCTGTCGTTCTAATGATAATTGATTCTCATCATAATTCAATGAATGCGGGTTAACGGTATCCGTATTCATGTTTGCGTTGGATTCGTTAGGTATATGATCGAGTTCCGTTCGAGAACCTTTATCGTTGGGAAGGATTGGAACAACTTGTTCCATTTCGTATGATGAAGATGAAGTGGATTGCTGATGGGAGAACATGATAAATTGTTCCATAAATTGTTCTTTTGATTCTGTTGAAGAAGTAATTATTGGCGTTGAGCTAGCTGAAGACTGTATTTTAGAAATTTTGTAAGCCTGATTTGATGACATTGCATCTAAGTCGTTTGGAAGTGAGGAAAATTTTTCGGTACATGCTCCTGCAGTAGTTCTAAGTTGTAGTAGTTGAGGTGACAAAATTTGAACTTCAGACATAGTAGAGCACATTGCAAAATTGATTAATCAAAGATTTGAAGAAAAGATTTTTTAATGTCAAAAAAAAAAAGAAAGAAATAAATAAAATAATAAAAGAAAAAAAATCATATTTTAATTTATTAGTATTTCGATCATAATACTGATTTAACAACAATAATTCAATCCTCTTTACGAAAAAGTATCGTATTGAGATTTTAAATATCATTCTCAAACATTCAATTATTGAATTGTCCAATGGCGATTTGATGTCGTGATCGGATCTTCAACACTAGTACAATTTTGTAAACAATAACAAGGGCCTAATTTTCAGAAAAAGGTCAAACAATAGCCATTGAAAGAAAGGACTTGTTTCATCAATAACAACGCCTCCTTCCATATTTGGGAACTCTTCCGACATTCTTTCTTGAAACTTTTTTTGAAGTAAAAATTTCATTTGTGAATTAATAAAGGTTAAATCAAACGTTTAAAAAAAGAACAGGCTGTGTTGTTATAGGTGAGTCATATTGTCTGACCTTCATTTTTTTTTGTTTTTTATTTTTATTTAAGGAAATTCACTAGACAAAGGACTTTCAATTATATATAAATACATGGATATCTCTGTGATAAGTATTTACATTAAAATTTACCTGATTTATTTTTTCCATTTCCTCTCTCAACTTCAAATTTTTTTCGTAACGGGAAAAAAAGTCGGGTTATCATTCTTTTGATACTCCGTCGCACCAAAAGAAATCACAAAAATGAAGGTGTGCAACATTTATATTAAAGATGAGGAGATAATAAAGTATAAACTTACACCAAATGCCATTTCCGATAAAAATCTTCAAATCATATTACGTGATTTACGTCGATGGCAACAACTGTATAATAAGGAAAGTACGGTGACAAAAGACATATGCGAAGACCTGATGAAAAAAGAAATAAAGAAGACGACGAAAAAGAATATCAAGAAACTTTACAAGTATTTGAAAGATTACAATCAATTCATGGAGGTTCAGGAGGTTCGAATTCAATTAATGAACATGTTAAAATTTATTAACAAAATCGACAGAGTACAAGATGATAATCCGATGTTCATTCCAACAACCTTTGATGGGGATGATAGAAGTTGTTTACATGAAGTTACCTTGGAATTCATGGATAATGTTAATAAATACATTTGGAACAATAGATACCGACGAAAAGAGTTGAATAATACCAATCAAGGTGTGCATCAAAGTCGATTCATCTCGTTGATATAGTTCTTCTGCGTCCGGCTCTTGCGTTGTAAATTTCTTATGTAAATAATATTTAAATCACGATATCTTTCTTCTCGATATGCAGATCTGAATTCGGTTTTACTGGTTTAAACCAAATCATTTGTATATTGTTTGTTTATATAAACCAACCCTATTCTCAATTAATCAATTTTAAACCAGTCACTCTGTTGACTTCATTAATATTTAAATTCCCAATTCAACTTTATAATCTCTCGTTTCTATCCATGATAAACAATCACAAGTTTGATCATATGCAAGCTCGCAAAGCCTCGTTCGAAGCCACCAGATTCGGCCCCTTCCAAAGAGGAAATGTGTTGGAAATTACCAGGCTTAGCGAAAACGATCTAACCAATAACACATATGATGGCACAAGTAAATCGATAAGCATGTTTTGGGGGGTTAAAAAGTAATTAATCATTTTGTTTACAATATCTTTCTTTATTGTAATAAAAATTATAACGTAATTAGAATTAACAAACAATAAACGTTCAAGTTGATCTTAACTTTTATTGTAAACAATCCAAATTCTGATCTTAGTGATTTAAAAATCCTTTATTTCTTTTGCGAATTCACCAAAAAAAGATTTTATGTTTTGGGCTTCATATTTATCGTATGTGATGCGGCGTGTAAATTTATTGAGGCGAATAATGATTCTCTCCCAAAGTAAAAAAAATCGGAATTTATTTTATTGAACGCAGAAATTTTATTTTCGGCACCTAGAGTGAATTTAACCATGGCTTGGTTGCATGGCTGTGTTGAAATACAAAGCCATAATTTAAGAAACGTTTACTGCGCGAGGAGTTGTTTTTCCATCAACATTTTATAAAATATAGATATTAGATTGTTCAAAAAATAGGAATAGGGATTGTTTCAAATCTGACTATGAGATTTCTTTTTTAATTCTTTCAATAAATATACCAGAAGTGGTAAGGTCATTGCAACATTACTGTGTGGCTAATTTCAGGCTAAAAATCGGAGATCCATGAAAAAGTTTAAAAGTTTTAGTTTGATGTTCATTGACCATATAATCAACGAAATATTTATTATTTATATTTGTCTTTTTTTATTAATCTATATACTTGATTATAGATTATAGATTAATCAAAAAAGTATGTAAAAATTCAAACTTTCAACCGGAATATTGTTTTAAACTTTTTGGGAAAATTACAATCGAAAAACCTTTGAATGAAAAGAACATATCCGTGTGATTAATGTCTCATGAAAAAAAAAGAAATATCATTCGATTTTCTTTTTACTTTGACATTGGGTGTATTTTTATATCATCCTAACGATTTGTCTTGGATTGGGGGCTTAGTAATTTTTTTTTCCAATCTGTAAATTTCCGATTAAATCGTTGACGCATGATCAAGAGTATCTACAGGAATTTTTTTTTTTTTAATCAATAAGATCCCACTGACAATCCTAGTTTAGACTATGAAATTATTTTAATTTCACTATCAAATTACTTCATCAATATAAAATATTTAAAAATATTTTTTTCCTTCCCTTAATTGTGATAAATCTTTTGATATCATATCAGGTGTTACATAAAGGTAATGATATAAATGTTCCAGACAAATTCAACTGGAATTATTTTTTTTTTGGAACAAAATTTCTCAATCGTATATAAATATAATGCGTTTTTAACCAGAACAATTAGCCACCCAAACCTTAACTACCGAATAAATATAATGCCTAATCTTTTTAATACAATCATACAAGACATAGTGATTTTTTATTATTCAACATTAAAATTTCTCTTAATTATACACAGCCACTAGGAATTATAAAAAGGAATCCCCAGATCCTTGGAAAAGAATTTATTTTTTTTTTTCTTTTTTTTTATAGAAATCACTTTTTGTTATTTATTATTTCCTTTCTTTTTTTCTTTTTTTTTTTTAAAAAAAAAAATTTTATCATTTTGTCAAAGGAGGAAAAATAAGTTTTATTTTCGTTTTTGAAATAGAAACTCTTTTGAAAAAGGATCAGTTAAGGAAAACGGTTTTTTTTTCCCTCCTCGAGATATTATGTCAATTGCCGCACGTTGTTATAGCGAAGTTCACGAAAGCGGTCATTTGTCTGACCTATCCAAGGTGAGAGATTCTTATGACATCGTGACCTTTTCCTATCAATTCTGGCGCATAAAAGGCAAAATAAAGTTATAATAAAGTAAAATAAATGATGTTTCCGTTTTTTTAATATCAAATTAAAAGGATCGCGTAAAAATTTTGTTTTTAACGTTGATTAATCACGTGACATCGTTTTTATTTTAACCTGCAGCTATGTGTAAGACATTTTAAAGACTCCCTCAAGAATATTTTTGAGGAGAGGACGTCATCTCCATGGACAAAACGGAAAAAGAGATCAGAGTTTCAAGAAGAATTGGATCGTTATGGAATTGTTCAATTCGTGAAGAGAGATAATCTTGCAGAAGAAGAGGAGGTTCCGCCTGCAGCGGATGATTTAAAAAAGACAAACAAGACAAATAAGAAACTTAGTCTTAAAGAAATATTCAAAGATCCTCCACAAGTAAAGATAAACGCTGATGGATGGCCGGATCGAAATGTTTATGATCCGTCATTAGATAAAATGTTTTGGTGGCGTAATGATCCAGTTTTAAATCAACATCACGAACATTGGCATATGGTAATGCCTTCCGGTGAATACAAGGGAGTTACGAAGGATAGGGAAGGAGAAAATTTCATTTACATGCACAGGTTCATGTTGGCCAGGTAAAGTTCGTCAAACCAAAAAAAAAAAAATGATGTTCAAATCACGTGTCTTGTCACTAAATATGCCCTCCATTAGATATGACGTGAATCGTTGGTGTCTTGGAATGGATCTCGTCGAACCATTGGTTGATTACACAACTCCGATACCCGAATCTTTCTATCCGCCCCCGTTCTTATCGCAGGAAAGTCGCGGTAATGCTAGGATTCCTTTCCCTGCTCGCCCTCCATATCAAGTATTTCGCGATATCGGTGAGTACCCCCTCAACATTCTTATTTTCGTTACGATTCCTTTGATCTAAATTTTTTTTTT